GAGAACTAATGGCATTGAAGTCTCCGGTGAGCAGCCAAGGGGCATCGATACACTTACTTTGAGCGATCAGGCTGTTCCATAGGAGGTTCTGCTCGCTGGGCCGAGGAGACGCATAACCCGCGGTCAAAAACCATGGAGTCTCATTACCGCGAGATACTCGGAGAGAGATATGCTGCCTACAGGCTGAGTAAAGATGCATAGAGAAAACCAGCTCATCCCAGAACAGCCATACCCCGCCCTTTCTCCCTTCTGCCTCAACCCGCATCGAATTCGGGAAACCCAGTTTGTCTCAAACCATATTGGCGGAATCACCACTGATTTGGGGCTCGAGCAGGACGACAAAATACGGACGCTGCTCGCGAATCGCTAACTTCAGAGCTCGCTTGAATGCTCTGTTACCTGCGCCACCAACGTTCCAAGCAAATATTTTTAGAGTAAAATTCATGGGTAAGATGATAAAAAAACGGAAGCAGAAAGGCAATCTGGGGCCGCAGGCATCAGGAAGGGGATTGCTGGGCATCGTTGCGGCAGTCTGTGGTCTCAGAAGAGCTGATTGAGGCTCTAATCGTCTTCTCCCCTTTGTTCCCGATCGCTCCTCTTGCGGCTTCGGTCCACGCGCTGATTTCCTGGAGCGTCAGCGAGGTAATGCGGGCCTTGGACTTTGGTCTCTTCTCCTTCATAGGGGACCAAACTTGAAGGGGTTTCATGGGATTCAGCTTGGCTGGCGATCTTTTCCCTATAGCTTTCTTCCCCTTGCTCCGTTTAGTTCTTGCGGCCACCGAAGGAGACGAATGTTCTTTCCCATCGGCGGTGCTGTGCTGCGACAAGGGAGCTTCCACTATTTGCATAACGGTGCCGTTTACGCCAGTGATGGTGCGGACCGTGGGAGGGTTAGGAAGTTGGACCGGGCTCTTCTTCAAAGTTGGCGGATCAACCCCTGCAGAGTCTACAGGCGAAAAGCGTTGGGCCGCCGTTTGATTTGAATAAGAGGCCTCATCCTTGTTTGTCACTGGTCTTGGCCCAGAAGAGACTTCGTTTTTATTTGGCGCCTGCCTTGGTCCAATATTACTAATCTTTTGGCCATTGGGCCTCGGCCCGAGAACCCCCTTACCCTTACCAACGGGAATATTTTCCACCTTCTTCTTGCCGCTTCTATTCTCTGAAGTCTTCTTCCTGCCGCTCGACACTTTCCTTTCTGGGATTGCATCCACCTGTGGTAATGGCCCGTTGGGGGTCGTCAGGGATACAGGATCCTTCACAGCTTCCTCTCCATGTAAACCGCCTTTCCCCGATTGCAAAATAGTTGCCTTGTGTTGATTCCCCGAATCCCTCTCCAGCTTTCCTTTTCCCCCAAAATCCCTTGAATTCCGCCGGCTCTTCCTCGTTACCATCATCCACGGCCCGAAACCCGGATTGCTATCCTCCGGCGGCGCTGGGTGACACGCCAAAACACAACACCAATCTGCGACCAAGTGTAATCGCAGACCGGGAATGCAGTAACAGGCAAGTTATATTATCAACCCGGGCTCTAGATCTACTGCTTACTCAGTGATTCTCTGTTATCTAGCCAACTAAAGTAAGTGATTGTTGTTTAAACTAAAAGCAGAAATAAAGCAGGAAATTATTCGGTTTTCTTAAGCAGGAAAGAGTCACTCGGGAATGAATCCCCCTAGCTCTTTAGTTAGGTTTCAATTGCAACTTACCCTGGGTTGATTTACTGTTGATTAAACTGCGGAAGATCCGACAGTAGCTTGGAATCTCTTAAGCTGACCAAGCCCTCTCAGTCTAACTACCCGGCAGACGACTAGTCTTCACCGGGATAGAAAGCTGAAGCAGTAATAACAGAAATTCACTACTGGAATTAGATTCCAGTACAAAGCAGTAAACTGGCTAACTCTCGTATAGCCAATCTCCTACTATCGAATGATGATACTCTAGCAACCTAATCAGATTCTATCTATCTCAGATTGCAGCAGGAATCAGGAAAAGTTGATGAGACTTCAATTGACTCAATAAACATGCATCATTCGATTATAATCAAACAGTAATATCATCCCAAGTCATTACAATCAATCCCCTAACACATAGAACTAGGGTTCTTCATCCCCAAGTGAGAGAGAGGTTCTACTCCATAGAGAGAGAAAAGAAAACAGTAATCGGAGTAGTCATACTCATAATGATGAGGAAAATCTGCTCCGGGATGATGATTTCCACTCCTAGGACGATCTCCAAGCTTGATTTGATGAAACCCAGCTCCAAGATGGCTTCTAGGGTGAGTTCTTCGCACTTTCTCTCTCTAAAACTCTGTTTTTGCTCAAGGAATTCGATCCCCTCTCTTGCAGCCCGGAATTAGGTTAAAACCAGGAAATCCCGACTCACACGGGCAGGGCCACACGGCCGTGTGGCATACCCAGTTGCCCGTGTGAGTCAAAACGCACCGTATCACTTAAGTTCGATCTTCAGGCTTCTCACACGGCCAGGATGGCACGGCCGTGTTTGATTTCCATCTGCCCGTGTCTGCTCACGGCAAAAGTCACACGGCCATAGCACTTTGTCACACGGCCGTGTGAAATGTCAGGGCAGGCCGTGTTTGCTCTCGGCAATACACACACGGCCAGAAATATGAGCTGCACGGCCATGTGATTTGTGGGTGTGCCCGTGTGGCCTCCTTTGTACCTCGCCACGCGTCCGATCTTCATCCAATCGACCCCAAACTCGCTCCCAAGCCTTCATTCACGTACTAGGACCTGAAATATCACAAACAAGCACAACCTAGCGTGAAATCGGCCTAAAACACGAGAAATCACATCTCAAACGGTGTAAGAACAGGGGTAAAAACATGTGTAATTAACGGTCTATCAAACTCCCCCACACTTAACCGTTTTCTTGTCCCCAAGCAAACCAAGTCAGACACAAGGTAAGCTTACATATTTCAATCAATCAACATTGGGGACAAGTCATAAAGGCACAGACACATGAATCGAACTGGTTTCCAGACATCAATACATGACCAACTTCAATAGCAAACTGGACAACCACCACAAAGGACATTCGAGTGCAGCAAAATCGAGTAAAGGAAGAGTCTCCCTTCTGTTCACCAACCAACCTAGACTTGACTCAACCACTTACTCATGCATCCAACTCAAGACATCAGAATAGAGACCGAGCAATCTAGGTCCTCACCAGGGTACACGAGTATATAGAATATGAAAAATGAATCACTCACTCTCGACCAGTGGGGTCAGGACAATTTGATGCGAAAAATGCGCATGCTATTTCTCTCAATCCCTAACATCTCTTCACCATGATGGCAGCCTCTAAACGCTAGAGTTCACATATGGGTGTCACCACTAACTAATCAGGAGGTCTTAGACACAGGTTCAAATGACTGGCTAGGGTCTTGGACATGGGGAAAAGGCCTTTTAGGTGGTGGAAGTATTCATAGCACAAGGTTCCACATTTCCAAACCCAAACAATCACAGTCAAACAAACAGGTATTTCCTTTCTGCTATTCTGCATTACTCAATATCTCAAGAGCACAAGAGCGAAGGAGGTATAAATGTCAGTATTTCCCAGCCAGACTGCTAAGAAACACTACTTACTGGGCATTATTTAGATTTTTGGTAGTGGCTCTCTTTGCTTTCAATTTTTCTTTGTTTTTCTTTCATTTTCTTTTCATTTCTTAAGAGAGCCACCACTTCTGCATATATTTCAAACACCTGCCCAGCTCAACTTTTAAGCACTACCTCCAACACTCACATTCAATTTAGCAGAAACAGCAGAGAATCTGTAAAAACCACTCTGTGGAACCTTCTAAAAGATTCAAAAGGGTGATTTTTCATTATAGACCAAAAAGAAAGGATAACACACGGCTCAAAGGGGCTGACTAGAGGGTATGACACATCAGGACAGTCAAATTTGGTCGTGGGCTAATCCTATGCCCCCATCATCCTAGCTAGTGACAACATGAATGCTACACATCATGGAAGAGGGATCTATCGCACAAGAAAGAAACGAGCAGGCTCAATTCTCACATGGCTACCTATATGCTCTATCTCACATTCTGATACCCTGAACTAGATGCATAAGAGACTGTCAAGAACAAGTATTCAATCCAAGTCACAGTTGGCAAGCAAACAGTTGGAAAACTGAACCCCTACACAACTCTACTGCACATCTTAGTCCTCATCATAGGTTGTCCTAGTCACAATCAAGCTGTCATGCATCAATCCGAAAACCATTCAATTCATCACTCAAAACACAGTGCCAATATGATCAAACAGCAGTACTTGGAGCCCTCAAATCTCGAGATTTGGACAGTGGACTAGGCTCCAAGCACACAAATATACATTCCAACCGATATAAAGCACCCCCCCCCCCACACACTTAAGCACTACATTGCCCTCAATGGAGCAGAGGGATAGAGAGGGGGAACGATGTTACCAGATTGAAACTGCTGGGGGACTGGAAGTGGACCAGTCAGCGAGAAACAAACGGGAAGATGGACAGTTCTGCACGAATCGAACACCAAGAACACACTAGCACACTGTGCGTTAGGGATAAGTGTTAGCCCAGACGGCTATAGCAAAAACAATCCACCAAAAGGAAACCGAAAACAAAAACAAACGACACTAAGTTCAAGCTCCTCACACATGGAGCAAACACACACAAGTCTAAAACGAAAAACAAAACACACTGAGATGGGCAACGAGTACAGCCTACTCGTCGCCGAGGTTATCCAGGTCGAAGTCGATGTCGTTCATGAAAGCGTCACCACCATCAGCACCATCATCACCATCCGCTGGGGGAGGTGGAAGTGGAGAGTCCTCCCAGGGAGTCTTCCAAACTGGCTGCTCGCCCGGTATCAGCTGGAGCAGATGCTGCTGGACCTCCTGCATACGCCGTGAACGGCGCCTCTCGCGCTTGATGTGGGCGAGAGTCACACCCTGCTGGGTCTGGAGCTGGTCCAATCTCTCATCGTAACCCACCATCCTCTGGTGTTACTCGGCCTGGTGAGCCGCGTACTGCTGCTGGAACTGCAGCTGATGGTCGATGATCTGCTGGTTCTGGAGACGCAGCTGCTCGAACTGGGAGGTGAAGTAATCCTGCCCCGGGAAACTGGAACTGCTGCCCCCGTGCTCGAAGGTGGTGGGGCGGGCGGCAGTGTCATCCACGTCCTCGGGCTGGACCTCCTCATCCGCTGCACCCTCTGGAACCTCCTGCTGGACCGCCTCTGGAATCTGAGGTGGAGGGAACCCCTCGATCCACGTGACTCCTCGGTCTTCTCGAAGCAGGAGCATCTTGGTGAGCGTAGCCCGGCCAAAGGGAGTGGTCGCTCCCTGCTCCGTGCATCCCTGCAGGGATATCTGGAAATACTCTGCCAGGCAGGTGATGAGAGGAGTGCAGTGTAGTCTCTTCAGCTCAGACGCACTCTTCTCGAAGGTCCGTGCCACCACCGAGCCCAAGTGTAGGGGATGATCTCTCTGGCGCATCGACTGAATGAAGTACAGAGATCTCTTGGTGATGGCGCTGGCACTGTCTGAGGCTGGGGTGTAAGACTTGGCCAGCAGGTGATGGAGGAGACGGTTCTCGAGCTGCAATGTGGTGGCCTTCGTCTTGCCCGCCTTGAAGGGAAGCTGACGTGGCCGGGCGAGGCTGTAGTACAGCCTCCCGAAGTCCACCCCTACTGGCCCGGCGACCTCTGTGATGAAGTTCCTGTCATTTACCAAGTTGAGGCCCAGGGCGTCCGCCAACTCGTCGTAACTCATAGAGCATGGTTCACCCCCGAGTCGGAACTGGACTGCAGCTTCATCCTTCCAATCATCTGTGGCTGCGTGCCTGAAGGTGGTGTAGAACTCAAGCACGAGCTCATGGTAAACCGTCGCGCGGATGCTGAGCAGGCGGCGCCAGTATTTGTTGGTGACAACGGGGGCGAGGTGCTCGTAGCAGTTGAGCTTTTCCAACTCGCGCTTCGACCAGTAATGGTGCTGCCCAAACTTGCAGGCCAGGACGTTTTGAAAACGATCCCGGTGGGGCGCCCGTCTCAAATCCTGAACATACTGACGTCGGAGGTTGGGCTTCGACATGATCCTGCAAAAGAACAGCCCAAAGTGGAACCAAAACAGCCAAGAAAAATGTTAATCACACCCCCACACTTAAGACAGAAAAACAGCCTAACCATGGTTTCATCCATAGTTCGGGGGTCAGAAACTCGATAAATCAAGCATAATCTGAGTGGGGGTGCACATTCACGATAAAATAGGCAACTTAAGGTTCACATCCATATCAAATACACCCTCAAAGCACATCATTAAGGGCCCCAACCGACTCCCACAACATGGTACGAAAACAGGCATTTCATCGAACACCTTGTGTGCACTATTAAGGTAAGCATGAAATTGGCACAATTCTTGCACACAAGGGCTCAAACAATCAAGAGGGACTTTGCCCAACACAATTCAAACACAATCCATGCATTCCCCTCAATCAATTGCACAAAAATCACAAGATTCAATGAGGTTCTCTAAACATGCACCCTAACACCCAATTCTCCACAATTAACATAGTTAAGGGCAAAATCAAACCTGGAGACTCAATTAGAGGTGTAGGGGATGATGAGGGGAAGGCGATGGAAGCGACGAAAAGCTGAAAAAAGGTGCCCGGAAGTGCTCGTCGGAGCCTCGCCGGATTCTCGCCGGAAATCGCCTCCGGCGACAAAAATGTCGGCCAAACCTCCTCAAAATCTAGGGATAGGCCGATTTTGGTGAAGGAAGGGTGGGTTTGTTGTTGGTTTGGTGAAAAGATGACACAAAATGGCCGAAAAAATTGAAAAGTGGGGTTTTGGCGCGGTTTTCCGGCGAGGGGGAGAGGTTTCCGGCGAGTGTTTTGAATTTTTCTGACGACCCGGCCGTGCTGGCCGAATAAATAAGCCGTGTCTCGGCCACATGGCCAGACACGCACGGCTGTGTCGCTTGCAATTTTGCCCGTGTCGGCCGACACGGCCTGGCCTAGGAATGTCACACGGCCGTGCCAAGTGCTCATTTGGCCGTGCCATATTCTGCGAGAGCAGACACGGCCAGGGCACTTCTCAACACGGCCGTGCGACCAAATGCCATGCCCATGTCGGCCGCACGGCCAGGCCAGGCTAATCCACACGGCCGTGCCAAGTGCACTTTTGGCCGTGTGGAAATTGTCGAGAGCTCACACGGCCTGGCCACTCCTTCACACGGCCGTGTGAGTTTAATTCTTGGCCGTGTGAGCTGCTGGACCTCCAAAATCAACCTGTTTTCACTCCAAAACGACATTCGACTCTGGAACAACATCTCAAGACTCAAAAAACATAAAAAATCAAAAAGAAAAAGGTAAGAAAATGCAAACCTCGGTGGGGTTGCCTCCCCACAAGCGCTTCTTTACCGTCTTTTAGCTGGACGCCAGTCAGTGGATGCTCAGTGAGGTGAAGGAGCAGGTGCCTTCAAGAGCGGATCCACCCCGCTCTTGAGGTACAACTTCAACTGGTGGCCATGTACCCGCCGAATGTGGCCACCAGCATTTGCCAATTCAACTTGGCCATCCGGCAGGATGCAAGCGAGTGAATACTCGGATGGCCAAGGTGGGGGCGGGACCAGCTCATAGTGGTCTCCGGCCTTCTTCCGAGCAGGCTTAGCTGCCTGCTGTTTCGGCCGCCACTCCTCCCTGATTTGTTCCTTCGATGACGGATTGGACGGGAGTGGCGGCGAAGGTATGGGAGGCGGATCCTGCAAAATAGGCAGCACAGGAGGATACACGACAGACTCGTGCTCCTGGTGAGATACAGCATGCAAAGGCGAGGAAGCAGGATGTGTATTAGAAATTGAAAATGTTATTCGCTCCTCACCATCCCTCAGAACTAAGGTCCCATCATGCACATCTATGAGGGCCTTGGCGGTGGCCAGGAAAGGCCTTCCTAGTATCAATGGCACATTCACATCCTCATTTATGTCCAAAATCACAAAATCAACAGGATAATTGAATTTGCCAACCTTAACCAGAAGGTCTTCCACTATGCCCCTAGGATGCACTACAGATCGGTCAGCTAATTGAAGACTCATCCTAGTAGCACGGGGTTCACCTAGGCCTAGTTTCTTAAACAGCTTATATGGCATAACATTTATACTAGCACCTAGATCCGCCAAAGACCTCTCTACATGCAAATTCTCTATAGAGCACGGGATAGTAAAACTACCTGGGTCCTTCTGCTTCTGCGGAAGCTTGTTCTGCAGAATGGCCGAGCACTCCTCGCTGAGCTCCATAGTGGCCAGCTCGCTCAGCTTCTGCTTCTTTGAAAGAAGCTCCTTCAGGAACTTCGCATACTTAGGCATTTGAGATAGTGCCTCCAGGAAAGGCACTTGAACATTCAGCTTCCTAAGCATGGCCATGAAGTTCTCGAACTCTGCCTCCAGCCTGTCTTTGTGCAACCGAGTAGGGAATGGGAGTTTAGGGATATACTCCTTCACTACTGGTTGCGGTTTAGGTGCAGGCACCTCAACCTCCTTCTCGGCTTCTGCTTCAGCTGCTGGAGTGCCGAGGCAGGGGCCTCTCTCTCTTGTTCCCGAGCAGGTGGATCAACAGTCATCTTGCCACTCCTGGTCATGATGGCATTGCAGTGCTTATTCGGGTTCTGAGGGTGAGGAATGGTCTGACCGGGCAAGGTACCAGGAGCCCTTTGTGCTACAGCCTGGGCAACACTCCCAAGCTGGGTCTGTATATCCCGCAGCACAGCCTGTGTATTTCTCTGACCAGCTTCTAGCTCCAAGAATTTGCCTGAAGCTTTCTCCATGAATTGCTCGATGTTATTGAACTTGTTCGCACTGGAGGTGGCCAGAGAACCCACCAATTCCCGCAGTTCAGCCATCTGATCATTCTGCACTGGGGCGGCAGGGGCTGCACCTGGCTGCTGGAAAGGTCGCGGCTGTGATGGAGCAGCATGCCCCTGCATGGGCTGGTAGAGAGACTGCTGTGGCTGCTGGAATTGCCCCTGTCTGGGCTGATATGGTGGCCTCTGGAAGCCCGGTGGTCCCTGGGGAACTAGTGGTCTGGAATTTGCCCCACCCCAGGAGAAGTTAGGATGCTGGCGCCACCCCTCATTGTAGGTGTTACTGTAGGGGTCGTTGCGCCTAACATTGTTAATGAAGTTCACCTGCTCCTGGGGTGTTGTCGATTCCTTCATCGCTTGGCAGTCTTCCACAATGTGATGGGTGCTCTCGCACCACTGGCAGAGCATCGCCTGCGGCTGGCCTGTACCTGCAATCAAACCAGAACGGTCGATAGCTGACACCAGCTTCGATACCACCTGCACCAAATCAGATGACTGGGTGCCTACTGCATGCACACCCCGTCCCGGTGCTCGTCTCGATCTCCTGGCAGTGCCCCAATCGTATCCGTTCTCCGCCATCTCCTCAAAGAGTTGATTCAGCTGTGGCGGTGTTTTGGTCAGCATGTTCCCGCCACAGACAGAATCAATCAGCTGCTTGTCCTCCGGGAAGAGGGCATGATAGAAGGTTCCCACCTTGAAAGCATCGTTGAAACCATGATTGGGACATCTTAGGAAGAGACTGTTGTATCTCTCCCAAGCATCCCGGATGGTCTCATCTTCATCCTGGGTGAAGTGGGTGATCTGCTTCTGCAAGTCCGCCGTCTTGGACGGAGGATGGTAGCGGGTGAGGAACTTGTCCGCCAGGTTGGCGAACGTGGTGATGGAGCCTGGAGGTCGAGTGTCTAGCCACTCCTTGGCCTGCCCCTCCAGAGTGAATGGGAAGTACCTCAGCTGGATGGCATCTGCGGGTACCCCATTGATCTTGATTCCATCAATGAGCTCGTGGAATCGCCGGAGATGTGATCGGGGGCACTCCCCCTCCTTACCACGGAACACCACTGAACCGCACAGCATGGTGATTACTGAGGTGCTCACCTCAAAATTGTTGGCTGGGACATGAGGATGCTGAATGGGTGACCTCATGTCCGCAGCTCTGGCGGTCCAGTAGGATCCCATGGTTTGCTCCTCAGGGATCATATCATGGTTCCCTGGTTCAGCCATCTCTTCTTCTTCCTCCTCTAACTGCAGCTGTGATAGCGCCTCCTCCGCAGCCAGTCGCGCCTTTAGAGCCCGCTTGAAGTTTCTGCAGGTTCGTTCAAGCTCCTGGTCTAGTGGTAGTAGATCTCCCGACTGGCTACGGGTCATGCACTACCTGCACACAATCAGCAGAAACAACCCGTGAAGGCACACAGGTGGAAGAGATAAAATGCAGTAAATAAAAAGCTAGAGTAAAATATTCTCACGTTTCCCCAATAACCTAGAGGGTCCCCGGCAACGGCGCCAAAAACTTCTCTACATGCCAAAACACAACACCAATCTGCAACCAAGTGTAATCGCAGACCGGGAATGCAGTAACAGGCAAGTTATATTATCAACCCGGGCTCTAGATCTACTGCTTACTCAGTGATTCTCTGTTATCTAGCCAACTAAAGTAAGTGATTGTTGTTTAAACTAAAAGCAGAAATAAAGCAGGAAATTATTCGGTTTTCTTAAGCAGGAAAGAGTCACTCGGGAATGAATCCCCCTAGCTCTTTAGTTAGGTTTCAATTGCAATTAACCCTGGGTTGATTTACTGTTGATTAAACTGCGGAAGATCCGACAGTAGCTTGGAATCTCTTAAGCTGACCAAGCCCTCTCAATCTAACTACCCGGCAGACGACTAGTTTTCACCGGGATAGAAAGCTGAAGCAGTAAGAACAGAAATTCACTACTGGAATTAGATTCCAGTACAAAGCAGTAAACTGGCTAACTCTCGTATAGCCAATCTCCTACTATCGAATGATGATACTCTAGCAACCTAATCAGATTCTATCTATCTCATATTGCAGCAGTAATCAGGAAAAGTTGATCAGACTTCAATTGACTCAATAAACATGCATCATTCGATTATAATCAAACAGTAATATCATCCCAAGTCATTACAATCAATCCCCTAACACATAGAACTAGGGTTCTTCATCCCCAAGTGAGAGAGAGGTTCTACTCCATAGAGAGAGAAAAGAAAACAGTAATCGGAGTAGTCATACTCATAATGATGAGGAAAATCTGCTCCGGGATGATGATTTCCACTCCTAGGACGATCTCCAAGCTTGATTTGATGAAACCCAGCTCCAAGATGGCTTCTAGGGTGAGTTCTTCGCACTTTCTCTCTCTAAAACTCTGTTTTTGCTCAAGGAATTCGATCCCCTCTCTTGCAGCCCGGAATTAGGTTAAAACCAGGAAATCCCGACTCACACGGGCAGGGCCACACGGCCGTGTGGCATACCCAGTTGCCCGTGTGAGTCAAAACGCACCGTATCACTTAAGTTCGATCTTCAGGCTTCTCACACGGCCAGGATGGCACGGCCGTGTTTGATTTCCATCTGCCCGTGTCTGCTCACGGCAAAAGTCACACGGCCATAGCACTTTGTCACACGGCCGTGTGAAATGTCAGGGCAGGCCGTGTTTGCTCTCGGCAATACACACACGGCCAGAAATATGAGCTGCACGGCCATGTGATTTGTGGGTGTGCCCGTGTGGCCTCCTTTGTACCTCGCCACGCGTCCGATCTTCATCCAATCGACCCCAAACTCGCTCCCAAGCCTTCATTCACGTACTAGGACCTGAAATATCACAAACAAGCACAACCTAGCGTGAAATCGGCCTAAAACACGAGAAATCACATCTCAAACGGTGTAAGAACAGGGGTAAAAACATGTGTAATTAACGGTCTATCACTGGGCTGGCGGAACCTGTTGCTGATGTCGTGTGCTGTGGCGGAGGCGTTCCTCTGGTCGCCGTTAGCGCCAACACTGCCACTGGTTGAAGCTTCGGGCAAGCATTCCGAGCATGCCCAATTTTCCCGCAATTGAAACACACTTCCGGTAGGTTCTCATATTCCACTTTCTGCCATTCGTCATCCAGCCAAATCCGGGGCACTAGCGGCTTTGATAGATCGACCTCGACTGCTAATCGAGCAAATTTGGCTATTTCCTGGGTGAGGGTGTGGTAATCCAATTTAATGGTTCTTCCGATGAGGTTCCCCAGCATATTCAATACCTCTTTGTGATAGAAGTGGATTTTCAAAGCCGGTAATTGAACCCAGACGATCATCGTCTTGGGGAGAGGATCGGATGCCTTGAAGCGAGGGGACCACTACTGCACCACCAAATAGTGATCGTAGACAACCCAAGGACCATCTGTAAGAGCCCGATAATAGTCCTGTTCGTTGTCTAACTTCACCAGAAAACAATCATGATCCAGGTCCTTCACCTCCATGTTCCCCTTTGGCCTCCACAATCCTCTAAGACGGTTGCAGAGGTTGACAAATCCGATCCTTAGTCCCAATAGCCGGACCACAAGAGCTTTTTGCCACGGTGCACAAATCTTGGCCTTGAATTCGGCCGACACCGTTAGTGCCGGTTCACCATTGCGCTCGCCCGACACCAAGTCGTGTTCCCCTACCGGCGTCCAAGTTCTCACCGAGTCAGGTGCCGGGATCGAGAACATCCCCCTTGCCACCGCAGTTGCATACGAAAAGGGTTGAAGCCGATCCTTTTTCCCTCCATGCCCTGCTTCTTCCGTCATCACCATAGTCTCGGGGACCTGCGGAGACAAAAACAGGGGAACGGAATCAATAATCATACTCGAGGAGTTTGTGGCCACGGCCACCTGTTCTTTCTCAGGGGTTAGGTCCGCTGTCGTTGGGTTCGGTGCTGTGTCCGGCGGTCGATCTGACGGAGGAAGGACGGGCGCCGGCGTTGTGTTATCTCTGGTGGCGGTTGAGAGCATCGTTGTTAATAGTATGCCAGATTATATATATATATATATATATATATATATATATATATATATATATATACTCGCTTTCATGTTCCAATTACTACGTGGATGTTTGAAGAGAAGTTATTAAAATTTTTTCACCTATATAGCTTTTAATATCTTAGTATGCAAAAAAGATAAATAAAATACCTTTTAATAATTATTTTTTTATATTAATGTTGTGAAGCTGGCTTGCTTGCTTGCACAATAAAACCAATATATATGTTCTCGTTCTTTTAACTAGAGCGATACGATGGAAAGATTACGATAAAAATTATTTTTTTCATCTTCTTTTGTATATTAGCTAGGTCAGGTTTTTCATTATTTTGAACAAAACAGTAGGCAATAAAATTCATATTTGAAATATTTTGACTGGTTTCTTCCCTAAAAAAAGGAAAAGGAGAGTCAAAAGTCAGTCGTCTTTGTGTTATTTGACTTGACCACAATTGGAGTTTAATTGGTAAAGGGAGCAAATCAATTTTAACAACAAAATATGGGGACAATGCATGGAAATTTCTTACCAACTTATCTTCAAATTTTCACAAAGTAATGGGAATTAATAATTTGGAGGGTCTTGTTAGAGTATGTATAGTACGAGTAGTATTATGTTATACTACGAGTACTGGTATGTAATTGGGCAGAGTTATATTCTTTATCAGAGTCGTTGAAGTTAGGTAATTTCCGTATTTGTGTTAGGGTTATTATATAAGTTAGTCTCGTAATATTCCTTATCAGAGTTACACTAATACGGAAATCACCTAACTTCTACGACTCGGATAAGGAATATAACTCTGCCCAATTGCATACTAGTACTCGTAGTATAACATAATACTACTCGTACTATACATACTCTAATACCCTCCCCAAATTGGTGGTAATTACTTATCAACAATTTCAAATGGAAACAAAAATTACACAACATGGAGATCAAGATGCTCCAAGTAGCATCATCGAAACAAAAACAAAATGCTCGAAAAAAACATTTATCAAATTGAGATATTACAAACAATATCTCAAACTAAGGTGTTGCGAACAACACCTCCAAAAACAAAGGGACGAAACCTATGGTTGTATACCAAACCGATCGAGACGAACTTGAACGACTATAGCTGAAACCTTTTCCAATCTCTGAAATTTGGACTCCAAAAACACCATGGCGATTCTCGAGGCGGTGGCAATCTCGGGTCAGTACCCAATAGAAAGCAGCAGAGGTCGAGTTGGATGGCATATGTTACCAACGGCAAGGAAGCAATGCGGAGACACGTTGGAGCTGAATCGAGGGGAAAAAGTAGTCAACAACTTATCAAAAGACACTGAAATAGAGCAGAAGGGACGACGGGGGGTTTCTTGTTGTTTTATCAATAGAAAGCAGTAGAGGTTGAGCTCTATGGCATATGTTACCAACGACAACGAGGCAATGCAGAGACACGTTGGAACTGAATCGGCGAAAAAAGTATTCAACAACTTATCAAAAGACTCTGAAATAGAGCAGAAGGGACGACGGGGGTTTCTTGCTGTTTTACTTTTTTCCCTTTCTTCTCAATCTACTAAGCTACGGGACAATAACTAGGGGGAGAGATCCAATAAATGTTTGGTACATGATCATTCCGGGAGACTGGGGACTCAAGATGGGCGGCCGAATAAGAAAAGGAGTTTAGGTGTTTTCTCTATTAGTGTTTTTATCAAGGAATTAGGCTCTGATACCATGTCAAGAACCAATTGATCCCAATAACTCGATTTGTTAGGAGAGGTTCAATCTTGAATCATATACCATTCACTAAAACACCCCCTGAAACGAAAGCAGTTACCTCAGAAGGGCTTTCGTTTGCACAGGTCTGAATACACGATACTATGTGCTTCACAAATAGGGGTCACCGGGATTCGAAGACAAGACCTTTCGGTCACATAAGGCTATGATACCATGTCAAGAACCAGGCTCCGATACCATGTTGAGAAATCAGAAATACGGTGGAAACTGTTGTGTATTATTACTTAAACAACATAGGGTTCATATAGAATATAAAGACTGACTTCTATAATAACCCTAACACTAATACGGAAATTGCCTAACTTCTAAGAGTCTGATAAGGAATATAACTCTGCCCAATTACATACAAGTACTTGTAGTATAACATAATACTACTCATACTATACATACTATAATAGGTCTCACCACTCTTACCAAAGAGAGAGAAAAAATTTCAACTAATAATCCAAAATTGAATGCCATCTATTGTTTGGACACTTCACTAAAAAAATAATAAGATATTAAAGTAATAAACAACATCTGATATCATGATATATTAAACATAAGTAACAAAATTTGATAATGCTTGGCTATAATGATTAGAACTTTAAATATTTTATTACGTAAGTAACAATTTACATTACACCAACGATGATAAATTACATTAGATTGTTAACAATGAGCCTAAACCCATTAACAAACAACAAAAAATGATTTAGTCGACGATGATACCGTTTTTCTATATCGTTGAAAATTCAAGCAAACAACTTGATAGCAGTACCTTGGTTTGATAACAATGAACCAATAAAAGTTGATGGTGTAATTGTTGGACATTGTTTCATAAACTTTGATAACAACAATAAAAACAAATAGTAAACTTTATCAAGATGTTTATAAACCTGACGTCCAAATTGGAAAACATATGCTCCTAGGTTGATAGACATGCAACAAACCGTTAATAATGTAAATAAGATTTATTGATAACAAAATATTGATAATAAAGTATAAAACTAATAACGTCATAAAGAGTTTTATTAACAATTCATGTAAAAGTTGATAATAACGATTATTAAACATTTGACAATGAAAACTATATGTGCACAGATGACATGACGTTACTAATTAATGAAAAATGGACAATGTTAAATAAAATCACCAAACAAGTCTAATAAACAATTGATGAAAACGTCACTACAACAGATTCGGCCTACTATGAAGAGACAATTTTGGCATATTAGATACTAATTTTTTCATATTAGGTATAATTTGACAAGAGTTGATGTCAGAAAGGTTTGTCATTTTATCGCTGTCAGGATAGGTCAAATGTGACAAAAATTTAAAACAAGGTTGTCACATTTGCTTTCAATATAACTAAGGTTCTGGGTAGTCTATTGTGACAAACGGAGATGTTATGAAGACATATTTTGTCATTACGGTTGTCATAATCTACTGATTTTGTGAGAATTGTTCGTCATATCACACAATTATATTTTGTCATAACTGTATATTGCGACGACCACATTTTGGTGATTTTTCCAATAATAGCACCTTTTTAAAAAAATTACAAAAATAGCACCCAACCAAAAAAATTTACACTAATAGCACCCTTTTTTTATGGAACGCACCTTAGAGGTGCGTTTTATATATAAACCGCACCCTCTAAGGTGCGGTTTGCGCCACGTCAAACTGGGAACCGCACCTCCATGGTGCGGTCTGTGTTTGGTGGGCAGCGGCCTTGTAGACCGCAGGATTGTGTGGCGATCTAGCGAGCAGGAGCAACGCCACGTCAGCGATCCGCACCGTGGATCGCAGAACGCGGCGAGGAGGAGCGGTTTGGCAGCGTGGATCGCTGAACACACCATGAATGAGCGGTCAGCGCCTCGGGACCCGGAGACCGCATCGGGAGGGAGCGGTTTCTGCTTTGGCAAAATTACCAGACCGCCCCTGAAGGGTGCGGTCTGAATAGTATAAATACCCCCTCCCCCCTCTCATTTTTTCACACCACAACCATTCTCCACTCTCTCTCTCTAGAATTATCTCTCTAAACCCTCCCCTCCCAAAAGCCTAGGAAATAGTGGTCTGTTGGTTGCGGCTAAGTCCGATTTGCCATCAGAAAACATTTCTTAGATTTTTTCCTCAAAACCCGCCGAGCCGAATCTCTGTCCGAATTTTGGGTTTTCCCTCAAAACCCGCCGAGCCGAATCTTTGTCCGAATTTCCCAAAAAAATTGACGAACCATGCATTCGTTTTCCAAAAAGTCATCTCCACAATGGCAGAGATCGGCAGTGCACGAACGGCCTTGTAGACAGAGTTGATACTCTCACCTGAGTTCGTTGTGGCAATACTCCATCTTGTCCCTCCATCTTTATGAAATGTCCACATGGATAGGTCGTGTCTATCTAGCCACTCTGCCCCTTCAGGGCATAACTCGCGCATCTTCTGCATCTTCTCCATAAATTTTTCTCTTGGTAAGCAACCGTTGAGGAAGACACAGAAAAGTAGTACGTTAGTCAATTTTTGGCAGTTTAGTACAATTCGAACAACCCGGAGGTACTCTCGTTAGACTCTTAGGAGAGGTATACATCTCCTTAGAAATACAGCCTGTTTGACAGAAAAAGGGGGGATCCGAAGATCGCTTAAAACCCGCTTTTCCCAGGAAATGGGAGGACCATGATAATCGCTTAAAACCTCATTACCTTAGGCATGCATCTCTTTAGAAAGAGTCTAACAAGTGCACCACTCTCATGATTACAAGATATTGTTAGCTGACAAAATTAAACGGCTAATAGAGAACTTACCAATCCAACACAAATTATCAGCAAGCTTCTTCCACTTGAAATGATGGTTCCAGTTGCTCTTGAAGTGTCGTATGCACCACCTTTGGGACCACTTCCAGGCTGGATCTAAACCTAAGATGGCAGCTCTAATGCCGGCGTGCCGATCAGAGATTATTGTCAGGTTCGTCCTCCTAGTGACGTGGAGCTGAATTTGCCGGGAAAACCATCCATAGCTATCAGCATTCTCTCCCTCAACAATGGTGAAGGCTAAAGGAAAGACTTGTTTGTTTGCATCCTCCCCACTGGCAATCAGGAGAGTGCCCTTGTACTTGCCGGTAAGGAATGTACCATCCACTTGGATCACAGGGACATAGAAGCCAAAGCCATCAATAGACGTCTTGAATGCCCAAAAAAGTCGTCTGAAATGGCGCTTGTTACCTGGCTCT